CCAGTGGTTCCTCCTTTTTTCCAGTGACTCCGCCTCCCAAGCGCCGCCCTTCAGTGAAAAACCAAGTAGTGGGACGAGAAAGCATGAAACTCTAAGCGGCTTCGTTATTTGTACGGACGTAGGGTTGTATTGAGTCAGCTGAGCGCGCGGAGTGGTAAAACTGGAAATGTATTGCAAAAAGGCACGAAATGTTGGAAGAAAATAGCAACATTCTAGGATGGTTGAAAGCAAAACATAAACTTAAAAGAAGAAAGAAACATTAATCATGTGAGGATTCACTTGAAAAAATAAGAATATTAAAGGTGCGCTCTTCAATCGTGGGCGCCACACCATTTCTGGCAGCGAGCCGAATAACGTGGAAGGGCTCGTCATTAAGCGCTGTTTCCCACATCGTATGCCACGCTCACACACACACACGCACTGTAATTGGGGTCTATTTAGATCATTTGGGCATGTTTTTTTTCTGCTTTTAACTTATCACTATGAGGGTAATGCTAAACCTTGGTCCGTTTTCATGCGAAGCTTCAAATTCACTATCTTAAAGATGGCAACATGAGCGCGGGCTTTTGTCTTTAACGTGGCCACTTCGACCAACCATCCATTCCCTTGTTAGCTACTTAGCTATATACATTCAGACTTTTGTTTTCAAGAGCCGAGACAAAGCGCAAAAGAGTTGTTGTCGGAAAACTCACTTTTGTGGCCGACACTCCATTTCAACTAAATAAAAATGAGGCAGGAATCAAGAAGCAGTGGCAAGTGCCGAACGTATATAGAGAGAAAGTTACTATCTAACAGTGCAGAAACATTGGGCGACAATTGTCACCTTTCATATAAAAATTTTTTGTGTGAAAAAAACGAATTACTCGTGAACAACCCAATACTTCCCCACTGCTCCCAGGAGCTCACGCTGAATGGTTTCAGTTTTCAATGGTTTGAAGAAAGGTATTAGAAAAGGGTTGTCTGGCTTATATACCAATGATAAGATGGGAAATAACACAAAGTGAAAAAAAATGCAGTAACTCATACGAAATGCCCACGCTGAACCGTGCGTGCATAGGGCGACGAGAGGGTGTGGTGGGACGAGTTCTCACTCGTTGGCATCAGCTCTTCCTCCTTTTTCACCTCATTCAGGGAGGGTGCGGCTACCTACTTTTATTGGGTCATGACATATAATGTATTATTATATTTATTCATTATTTATTAATTTATTTATTTGTTTATTTATTTATTCATTTATTTATTTGAATACACCCGGGGTGTGCCACAGACGCAGGAAAAAAAGTTAAAATATACAAATCGCACAGTGAAGATTTGAAAAGAAAACAAAATCAAAACAAAACACAAATGTAGGGAACGAAACACTGGGAACAAGAGCGAAGGAATAGGCTGTGAGTCAAAGTTAGGAGATAAGAACCGGGACCATCATTGTGACAGGATGATAAGGTCATTTTCCCCTTCAGGTAGATGAAAGGGTACACCTGCAAGATCCGTGCCATTGGTTCAGAACGCAGAGAGGTGACAACAGTACTGGGGCTTGCTGACAACTTAACCCGTTACGAACGAATTCGTCCGGGACCTCAGGCGAACAGACCGAGGGGGACCTCGAGCGAGCGGGTTCATCAACCTTCGGGTTCCTCAAACACTGGCCTTCACAGCTGAAGCACACGATTTTCTAAAAAATTAACTCACAACTACTTTGCTTATTGCTCCCAAGGTTTTATGCTCAAAACCCGTCTCAAAAAATGGGTCTCAAAAATAGCCAAGAAACATGAAGTCTAAATCTGTATGGGTACGGAATCATAAAGAGTCCCCAGAGTAAGGAGTAAGTAGTCCTCCAAACAGGTGGGAAAGCCATCTTGTGCCACTGAGCCTAAGGCTTTGTCGTTCGGCAAAGGTGTTCACAGGAAAAAACCATATCGACCAAGTAAGTAGTGCTGCGAGTGGAACGAAAAAAGGAAGAGAGAGTCAAACTAATTCAGGAATTTTCGAAGTGCGCATGAGGTCGTTTACTTACCCTACTTTTGAAAGGCTTGCTATCAGGCGCTTGGAGAACGTGAGGTGGCAGAAGCTCAAATCATCTCGCGCAACGATTGAAAATTATGTTGAACATTCAGGAATAATTTTTGGGACATATAAGGATAATGAAGGTTAAACCCACCATGTCTAGTGCTCATACGCCTAAAACACCAATACTTACTGGCCGACAACTTGGCTTCCTTCCGAAGAACACGGAAGCAGAATACCAAATCGGAAAGGACTCGCCCATACTGTAATGAGCGCAATGAAAACAGTCTAAGTCGAACATGATAAGGAGAGAGAACCAACACACGATGTGAATCATCATGCCTCCCAGTACAGGATGTGGTCTGTACCAGAGCAGCCGAGTAAACACATGCTGGACCCTTTCAATTTAAGCATGTCTTTCTTAATAGAGGGACTCCAAACTTGTGAGCAGCACTCTAGATGAGGTAAAACACAAGCTTTATATAGGCGCACAAGAATGGATGAACCCGAGCAATGTATGTTCCTCACAAACATGAAAAGTGCAGAAATTCTTAACGACTCGGTCAATCTTACTGGAAAATTTCAAATTAGAGTCGAAATCAACTCCAAGGTCTCTAGTAGAAATACATGTTGGAAGCTTTACGCTTTTCACCACATACTCGACATCTGCGCTCTCTCCAAAATGCATAACCAAACATTTGTTTAAGTTTAGGGAAATGTACATGTACCACAAAATTACGCACTCACACATTCTTTCGACTGACGTTTTGAGCGCATCTTCCAAACTCATGAATAGGCGCTCCTTCTGAACCAGCATCTTCTTTACATGTAACGGATACCTAACAGGGTGAAATCTGGAGAATCTAAACGGCACAAATAGTGCCAGCGCATCGTAAACAGCTCTGCAGAACCTAAGATAAATCATCCATCGAATCATATTGTTCAAACAATGTGAGCCAGTCTACGTTCGAAAAGTGGGCATCGAGAAGTTTATAGTCTAGGAGGAGAAATCTTAGAGAAATGTAGGATTCTTATAGGAGAAATCTGGAGAAGGCAAAGGAAAATCGCTCATGAACTCTTCCAGCAACTTGGAACGTACAGAGGCATGATCCGAATTAGCAAGTGGAGGGGCACTTGAGACTTCACTGACGTTGGGAAAAGTAGATAGACCTAAATCAAGTACGTTGTTTCCATGAGTCGGTAGACAAACATGCTGCTGCGAGCCGCTTGTTGGAAAAATTCAAGAAAAACGGTTGAAGATGAGTTGAGTGCACGGAGATTATCCCAGTCAATGAGCAGATTGAAGTCGCCTAAAATTATACTGTTCGCCTGAGCTGAGATGATGTCTTGTAAGGCTTTTATCAACTCTTCATCTTCACCCTTGATAGAAATCGGAGGACGGTAAACGACTGTGAAGAGAACACGTGTCTCTTTGTGCGGACGGAATAGTTCTAAACAGAGCACGTCAGCCTTGCTTGGGGTTGCATGTTCAACAGAGTATTGCTCTTGGCCAGGCCGGGCGTGTCGGCTGCGCTTGGCGCGGTGCCAGACTTGTTCTACACCAGTTGTTGAAGCGGGCAAGTGACAAAATCACATCTTCCGTATTGCTAGTCTTCTACCGCTTTTTGTCGCAGACGCTCTTCAACAAGAAGGCAGAGAACGGCTTCGATAGGGTGACACACTGGTTGGCTGACACGCCTAACCGTCCGCAGAGAACTACAGTGTACCCCACCACCCCTACGCTCTTTCCGGTCTAGTCGATAGAGCAAGTATGGTAAATTACTCAGAATTTTAGAATCGTAAATCCGGTCAGTGAGCCATGTCTCCGTTATGAAAGAGGTCGGATTCATGGTGGGCAAGGTAGGCGCGTAAGTGTTCAAGCTTATTGGACAAACTGCGGGCATTGAGTGAGTGACAGGCAAGGGTCAAGTTACCCTGCGACACTATAGGATTCCCGAACGTCTGGATGGTAGCCCAGACGAGTGATTCAACTGCCCCTGATAAACAACCCATTCGCGCGCAACTTTTCCTTTGTTACGATCGCGCCCCTCCTGGCGTAGCTCATACTCGCGTTTTCGTTCTTCCACCGTCATGCTCCTCCTTACGAAGACATTACGCAGTACTTATACCTTGACCAAGCGGGGGCGATCTGAGTCCGATTTACCCATCCGATAAATTTTATTCGGACGGCATTCCACATAATGCCTTTTTTGAGACATTTAAATTCATCAGTTCTTGTCGTAGACAAGTACATGTTCACAACTGAATTTTGCCGCAACCTCAATAATCAATCGCAGCTGCCAGATTCAAAGGACGAACGTAACCACTCCCTCCCCATTCCAGTGGAATGGTATGTATCTGAGAGCAATGAGAGACGTGACCACGTACTTTGCACCAACCCTGTTACACATACGTCTCTGCTTCTCTTTCATGAACACGGTCACGCCTCGTGGAGTCCTGCGGTGGGAAAGCCACAGCCGCGTGAACCTTAAAGGTGGATATCGATGTAATGAGTGAAGGTGGACCTGCGAAAACACAGGGTCACCATGTCGCGAGCCCTATAGTGTTCTTATTCCGTAGCTTTAGATGGCGAGACGGTACAGCCTCTGCCGATCTGCTAATAGCATATAGGATAGTGATTCTACTCACTAAGTGATCACGGCATGTGTTCTCAATCGTTTGGAGACAAGGCAAATATATGCAGTGATGAGCACTTCAGAACGCCCAACCGGCCCTTTATTGTTAGCGAGACCTATTCAGTAACTTGTGGGGGCAAAGCGGAGAGGCATGCCCACTTCAATCTGTTACCCTTCCAGGTAGTCTCGAAGAGAATTCATTCAGGATTTTCCCAATGTGAAATGCGTACGATGATCAAACCATGCGAGACTTTATTAACTAATCAAAGGAACATGGCAAAGGTAAAGGTTAATAAAATTAATATTAGTTATGTACATGAATACGAACATGAATTTGTATGGGCATCAATACAATACAACTCAGTGACTCAGGACGCTGAACGAGGTGTCAGTTCCAAAACGTCTTTTTCGATATTCTCGATTGTAGTAACCGACAAGTCGTAAGAAGACAAGTGTTCCGACGAGCAAAATGAGAATGTTCGCTGAAAGCCGATAGATTGAAGGTATTCATGAGGTTGGAAAAGAAATCCTGCAACACTCTGAAGAATCCTCCTGCTCAAGGCCTTGGACGCATAGTACTATACAACCACCCGTGAGCTGACCCCAAGTTTAGGCTGCATTCATTTCACAATACATATACCCGCAGTCTTGGTTGACAGGAGATATATTGAGATGGATATCTCGTCCAGACTCCGAGTATCAGGTTTTTTCTACAGCCCGTACAATGAAGGAACCTTGTGACAAACTTAGTGGGTAGTAACAAACTAGGCTGCTCAGCCATGCACTGAGCTCGAGTAGATCTCTCAAAGAAAAAACGCTGTTTGCTGTGACAGTAGAAGATGACCGTAGAGAAAAGGTTTCGATAATTAGCAGCTAGGGCTGAAAAGAAAATTCTGCTGGATATGGATACATCAGTGACGACTAGCATAGTCTAACTGGCTTCAGAAAATGACCGGCGCACATATGATCTTCGTTTTGAAAAGCCGAATATACCATTTTCACTCTGAATCGGAAACATTTCAAAACAAATGGGACACTTTTCAAACCAAATCGGACAGTTTTCAAATCAAATCGGACACTTTTCAGACCAAATCGGACACTTTGCAAATCAAATCGGACACACCCCGTACAATAAGCACTTGATGACTAGAACGCACTAGGTACTGCTGCAAGCTCCGCCTCAACACCTCCGCCCACTTCTCAGCACGATCACGGTTTTAGAAATGTTTTATGAATTCTGCTTCTTCGAATTTTTTTTCACTTCTGCTAGTTGCACACACAGGCACACTTCAACTGAAAATGATTGGTACCGACACAGGTCTGACTCCCCGCCCTTCTTGATGAAGTGACCGCAAGTTTTGAATTTTATAACGTTTCTTCGACGTCGTTCTTTTCATATTCAATCTTCACAAAACGAATAAGCTGATAGCCATAGTGTATTTGGGCTCTAGCACACTAAGCCCTGCCCTTCTGGCCACGCCCACTTGTGTTTTTCGCGGAATTTCAAATTTTCTTGCGAACTTTCACTTTTTAAGGCTAGAATGGGCGGCTTCGCCCACTAAAAGAAGCTCGCCCACTTTGTGGAAAGCCCCGCCCATTTTTGAAAAGTAACGAAAATCAGCACGCTGGAGTCGGTACTGGCAGGTTATGGCATCGGTTGGCCTCTCCCATCATTCGGATCAAAAAAGCATAACTTTGTTCCGAGTGATGGTAGAGGCCATAAGCTGCCAGTCCAGGCTCCACCGTGCCGAAAATGGTATATGTTCCCACTCCACGACACCCAGCGCCCGTAGGCGGGCAAATTGTATCTACAAAATTCTGAATATCAGTCCTGGCTTATGACCACTCTCAGCTTACTCAAAGATTGAGCGGCTTCTGACTACCACTTGCTGACAGCACTGATTCTTCAGTTGGGAAAAAAGAAAATTGATAAGCTTAAGCGTCAACTCATGTATAAGATCGAGAGATTCTTTCATCGTAAACGCTGGAATGCTGAGAGAACAGAAACGAGAGGCGGCTCAATAGACGGGGAACTGCCCCATGTAATTAAGTTAATTTTATTGCTGACTGAAGTTCTCGAGCGCTAGAGGAATATCCAATTCAGAATTACCTTCCAAGCTTCGCAGAAGCTTTTTCCAACCTAAGAGTAATACGCTAGCAAAAGCACTATGTTCTACGGCTCACCAACGACAATTGGAAGAGCTCGAGCCCAGCCTTTGCTGAAAAAGTGATGTTGTTTCATCCGAATAATAGCGTGAGGGTACGACATTCTCCTGAAAGGTGGATTTTGGAATTGATGCGGAATAGGTTGGGAGCAAGATGTAGCGACATTGTGCTGCGCTCCACACCTTGCGTTAGCTACACTGGTCCAAAAGCAACCTGTGAGCATGCATGGGATTCACCCAACGACGTGTTGACACAACTAACATCCATTCATCAGGTGCGATATCATCATGTACTTCAAAGAAGAATGGTTCTCCAAATGAAGCACACATCTCACTTTTGCTGAGCGAGTCTTGACTTTCTTCTCTACTGAAGTGAAACTGTTACTGATCCAAGAAGTTCGGAATTTTCTGTGACCAAATCTCTCCCCCCCCCCGTGACACCTCGACTGCAATTTGTGTGGAAACCATTTTTGAGAATATGCGGAGGAGCTTATGAATATTTGACCTTTCTTCATCAAGCTGATACACGCACAGACATATGCAGATTAAAAGTGAATGCATACTGGCATAGCCACTTATTTTTGCACTTTTTTATACTCGATATCCCTGAGATGCGGTAGGCTCGGCTGGCTGCGTACTGCAACTAAACGTAACAGTGGTTGCGCTTTTGGTGGGATATTTTCATTTTGAGACAGCTCGGTCATGTCTTTGTCCAGCACAGAACAAGATGACAGTCGTCCCCAATAGAAATATCCGAAGAGTATCCGTTCCATGTCATGTTCAAATGCCACGCCTACCCCGTCTCAGCAACAATGAATATAGAGGGATTCACAAAGGAAAATAAATGAAGTGCCTAGGTGATGAGGGCCACCTTAGTTGGCGATGAACCTCATGACTGTACCATACAGGTGGGGGCGTAAATTGTTCCCAGGTCTTCCCAGGGATCGAGAAATATGAAACGAAAGGAAAAGAGAAGAGAGGAAATGAGGGATTCATACGCAGTGGGCGGAGCGTGCTTCAATGTGAGGGTCGAAGCTTCAGAGGAAATCATACATCGATTCCAGGGCGTCCCAGAGGATAGCGCTAAACTCGAATACTAATCTACGCCACTTTCCTGCTTAGGAGAAATCCTGCGGTAACCCAAAACCCGAAACTTGACACCTTAATTTTGTCCACCAAGAAATGTGATGAATTTCGGCGAGAGAAGTACACCCGAAACGCCGGAGGAGGGAAAAACTCACCTCTTTCGTTGCGTTCAACTATTTGGTGAGATATTATTTCATTTTGACGCGATTGTAGTCATGTCTCTGTCCAACATGAGGCAAAATGACAGTTATCTCGATCGAAATATCTCCACGTGTAATCTCCTTTTCGACTAGGATCGCGGCGATCCAAGAGCGCTTTGGGATGGTGAAATTCAGGGGGGGGGGGCGTTCGTTTTACGATATCGCCGAAGTCTGTCGCAAAGAGTTTCTCTGTTATGAATAGTCTTTTTCAGAAGTTTGTTACATCACATGTTAGTAATAGCTGTTTTACTGAATGAGTGCTATATTATCTATGTAAAATGCTACGCCTACCCGTCTAAGGATAAGAAGTGTTAGTGATCACTATTTATCATTCGGATACTTTATAGATGTTGACGGTGTTGTACTAATGACGGTAAGCAATCATGAGGAATCTCAGCAAAAAACAAACCAAAACATCAGGGGCATTCGGAATATGAACAACCTATATAATTCGATTTAAAAAGTTTGCCAATGTTGGATACCGTTCGGGAGATTGAGGATCGAAAGTTCCACATGATTTTTCGGACAACCTAATGCCCACGAAAACAATTAAAGTGTAGCTCGCTGCGGACGGCTGGGTGTGTCAGGCGAGATGAGACTGGCGCGGTGCCAAAAACCCGTTCTCCACAAGTTGTTTGAAGCGAGCAAAATGACATGACTGTATCAGCAGTTCCGTATTACCTCGTTTTCTAACCCTTTTTTTTGTCGCATCGCCAGCGTACACAAAAGAAGGCAAGAACGGTCTTGACGGGTGAACCACTTTACTGCCTGACACGCCCAACCGTCCGCAGCGATTGGTAGAGCGCGTTCAGCACGCGGCGATCGCGGTCGAATCCCATCGCTACGATTGCGATAGTTGAACTGCGCGTGTCTCGACGCGCTCTCTCACCACCATCTAAAACGGAGACTTCTGTATTTTATCTCAGAGCTCTCTGAAAGTTGAAGTGAAAAAGAAAATGTTCGTTTGTGAGGCAGGACTCCCTGTTCAATCTAAGATCTTGTGTGCTCAGCACTAAATTTTCCAATTTGTTGGAAGAGCGACATATAAACAGTGATTATTTGTAGTTAAAAGTCTGCAAGCGCAGTGAATCACTTACGGTCTGAAGGAATGATTAGCCATACTTCTTACAGTGATAATATTATCACTGAGTTTCGTCACGAAAACGTGACCATCACCTTGATGTATTATGACTTCTGAGCTGAAAAGCGTCGATTCAACGCAGCTGTAGGTTTCCAGTTTTTCCAGATTTTCCTTTGGAAAATTTCTCCACATTGGAGACTAAGGTTAAGGAAAACATGAAGGTGAAAGTAGTAAGTAGCCGGAGTGATTGAAAGATTTGAAACTGCTTAGTTATTGACAATGGATGGTTAAATGACCTGTCCTCGACAATCTTATGATAGTTCAGGATTTTCAGCTCCGGATGAGGATAGACGAATTGCAACTTCGGCTCTGCTACTGAAATTTCTTGATATTAGAAATTAAGATTATGGAAATTTTTGACTGAAATGTCGGTCTATGAGTTGGAGCAGTTTGGTTGAGATGGAAATATAATGAATCGGAGTAGTTTTTCAAATCTACGTGGAATATTGATCGATTGAATAAATGACCGAATTCTTCAACATACAAAATTCTAGCGAACAAAGAGGAAAGACGAAAATAGTTAATATTTTTTGTGAAATAAAATGAGATAAAACGATATGCTAATAGAATGAATCACGTACGAAGATCGAGATAAGGTGTGATGTAGTTGTTCCCAATATGAATACGGAGATCATAGAATCTGAATACTTGTCTCACTCAAAACGAAATAACGTTTTCTACCTAGTCGTAAGATTGTCCGCAGTTCTTCAAAAGGGTCACTCGCAACATAAATCGTTTAGTTTAGTAAACAATAAGCAAAAACATAAATCGCTGATGGAGACAAGAGCATTTTTTTGCTCGCGTTCTTTATGAGCAACCCGTTGCTCATAGTGTTGTTCGTAGAGTGCTTTTTTCCGAATCATATGTGAACCAATCAAGCTCTCTCACGCAGAATTTCACCCGTAAGGTTCCTGGCTACACGATGCCGCCTCTTAAAAACCCTACCCTGCACGCCTCCTTTTTTTGTACGCAAACGTGGGCCTGTTCAATCATCGAATTATGTTTTGCTTCCTGTGAACCAGGGCCACAGCTTCGATAGGGATTTCGGCGAGCCTGTACGACCCCCCCCCCTTTTTTTTGGGGCTTCGGCTACGACCCCCCCCCTTCTGCCGCTCTCGGTTTTTTTCGCCTTAAATGAAATATGAAACGCCCACTATGAAATGTCTACTTGTATGGAAGGCGCCATTACTAAATGGACGACTTGAAGTCATGACATTACTAGAACAATACAGAAATGACTTGCAAACAAAAACGCGACATCGGATTATGAGAAAACTCGTATGAATGGACTTCTTCGATGGCCGTTTTGAAACACACCGACTATAAAACAATATATAGCGACTTTAATTCAATGAACAATTCGTTTAACCTGAGGTGGCACTCCGCCTCTCTGGGAGCGGCCATGACAGCGGACACAGTGTTAACACGTCTAATTCCCAATGATTGAGACCGAGAAAAGAGAGGAGTTAGGCTTGTCTCACTTACCGTAACAGTATACAATAAACCGCCGTATTAAAAAAATTCATTACCCCCATTATCTGGAGTACGGCTTAAGCAAGAAAGCGATGTAATGCGGCCTGTCACAGAGAGATTATCCCGGCAATTTATCATGGAGCGAGAATTTCCCAAGCGAGTTAGGTGCTTTGAAGGACATAACTTCCTCAAAAAGCGGGGCGCCTGTGGGAAGAGGAGACTGTACTCGTTTTTACGAGGAAGGTTTGCACTTGCCTAAAAGTACTAAAACGTTCATGAACTTCGCAAAAAATCACGAGCATCAAGAAAATCTGCCATAGATTCCGTTTGGGATGTGTTTCAAACCGAAACAGGTTTGAATCAATATATTTTTTGTAACTTCAACATGTCACAAATCTAGAATGTCTCGAGTTTCAAGTGAGCCGTGCTCAAATATGCCAGCGCTTGCGCATGTAGAACGTTCCTGTGGTGAGTAGTAAGCGGCATATAGTTCTTTAGCAACACTCCGTCAACTTTAGGAATGCGCGCGCACTGAGGCCGCAAGAGTGATGGATGGTGCAACTTCTGCGTAATGGTCTGTTTTCACAGCGAGCAAGACGTGTTAATAAGAGTTCAGGGAGGTCCATGGCGAGCCTCGCTGCACTTGCTTACAGTGTGTTTCCTGCTATGATGCAATGAACATTCCGTCTGACTCTGCCAGATTCGCTGCCACGCGAGTTGCTTACTCCGATGAAAGAGACAACTGCATGCGAAAAGTCGATATTGAACACGATATGTAGTCTGTCGCTTCGTCGAGAAAAAAAACAGGTTTGGCTACAGCGCCAAGCCGTGAACGCGGGCACGCCATGTCATTGAGCCGCAACCAGTTTGACTGGTTGTGTACTGTGATCACCAACGGACCTACGAGAGATGATGTTTGACTTATTAATAATTTGCCCAGTAATTTCGGCATTAGTTTGCATGAATGAAAAGTTTTGTCACTATTTTTTTGCCCAATATCGCAGTGATTCTACACAAGCAATATTTCAGTTGTACAGCAAGAACTCAGCCACATTGACAATTGCGTTGCCGTTACTGGTCTGCCGCACTCACTAACGAGGGCCCCCCCCCCCCCTCTCCTGGGCGCCAAATACGACCCCCCTGTTGGGTATTCCCCAACCAACGATGTGCCCTGCCTGTGACTTTTGGCAGTTTGTGATTTCACTCATATATGCTAACTGTCGAGGATTTATATATAGACAGACAGAAGAGCGCGCCCGCTATTGAAATCCAAAATTTTGCAATGTTTCTCAACCTCGTTGCTCCCACATCCAGCTTACAACGAACATACTCGGAGACTCGCACTTATTCACTAACGACTCCGAACATTGGCCACGCCTACTTTTCCAGAATTCGTGGAATTCAGATCTTTCAAATTTCTCACCTTTTTGAAGACATTGGAAACCCTACCCATTTGGCTTCTGCCCGTTTTGGCGAGGTTTCTATAGCAGCATGGAGACTCGCTCATCACTGCGAATAAAACAAAGCAAGTTTTTGGCTCCAAAATGGCGCTTACATACAGTGTATGACCAGTCGGGTCGCAATCAGTGGCATCCAATTGAGGCGTTCCTAGCAATGGCTGTTTCCTTCCTACATCGACCACCATTGGTAGAGCGAGGCGGTTGACGCGAGCTCATGGCGCGCCCCCGACTCCGTTCGATGTTACAAACTACACGGGGCGAGGGAAAAAAGACACTGTGGCCAAATCACATACCGGTAAAATTTGCGCAGCCTGGACAGAAAACATGGATACGAGTACCAGGGCGGAAGACACCAAGATAAGCAGGAGCAGGCTCTCGTCCATCACCTCCATATGTACACTAAATGGAGCCATCTCTAATGGCGGCCGGACTATTGAAGGTCTATGGAATTCACGTCACCTCCAACAGCTGCAAAACTTCTTTCATGGAGCCACCCATGGACAAATACCTGGAGGCCGGCACTCTCGATGTAGGAAATCTCCAACATCGAACAGCTCCGACATCGTCGCTACCGTCCAGGATATCATCTTCACCGCAGTTGCCAAGTCGCGGGTTTATGGTATAGACGGGAGGTTCTTGGAACGGGACGATATTTTCTTCATGGAACCCGAACTGGAAGTGAACGCTGGCGATTTCATCGGCCAACTCGAGAAGAATCTCCTGCTTTCATGTCGTCACCCGTACCATATTGGAAACTTCATACTGCAACAGGACTGGGTGCCAGCACATGGAATCGAACGGCATTGGAGACTCTCGCCTATTCGGAATCGAAGAACGTTGAGACCCTGAAGAACACTGAATATCCAAGAGTGTCACCTGACCTAATTCCCTCCATCACAGGGGATCTACAGCGGTGGAGAAATCAACGACGACAAAGGCACGGTCCGCGATACCAGGTGATATTGCAGGGATGTGGAAGAAAATTCGTCAAGTGAAACGTATATGAAGAGAAAATGCCAGAGGAAACGCTGGAAACGCATTCGTCTGGCCTGCTCTAGCCTTAGATGTAAAAAACCAAAAAGACCGCGCGCTGGGACGATTTCCGTCGACTGATTCCCAGTAATGAACCTTACGACTCCACAAGGACATTGGATGCATTCCCTCCATTATACATACTTGCCGTTAACTTTAAACTTTAAGCATTAACTTTTGGCTGGAAAGCCGACGTCAGAGGCGTAGTCTTTAGGCGGAGTCACTGGAAAAAGTGATGTACCACTGAAGCAACTTTGCGCCTTGATTCCTTTACCGTACCACTTTCCGCAGCGAAACTGGCACAGAGCTGTCCACTTCGGACCGCACTACTCTCGTAAACTCTTGGTCATCGCGGACCGTTCCTTTAACTCAGGAACAGAATCACGGTCGCGTGGCAGAATATCTCGATGGCCCAGAGCACATCATTTCCGGGGAATCCCCAATAGGGGGAATCGTATTTGGCCGCCAGGATAGGGGGAGTCGTATTTGGGCTGAGGAAAATTTATTCTGATAGTTGATTTTTCTCGCTTTACCGACGTTGTAACAGGATGGGGGTCGTATTTACTTTTTGGCCCTTTGGGAGTGGTTGGTAGTGGTGGTTGACTTTTCGTGGTTTTCCTTTTTCACATGTGCTACCCCCGCCCGCTCGACGGCTCGATTTGATGAGGAGGGACAGAGGGCCGGAAGGGGGGGGGGCGTACCAACCCCAAAAAACAAGGGGGGGGGTCGCACGCACTCGATCAAAATCTCCAACCAGTGATGTGCCCTGGCCTTCGTCCAAAGGGAGGGGCGGAGTGCACAATGCATTGCTGAATTTGATGGTGGAAATTTCCAATCAGAGTTTGATAAAGTGCAACTTATATGCAGAAAGTCGAGGAAGAAAAGGGCCAAGAACAAATGTCATATTCGTGATTAGGGTCCATAAGCAATTCGTATAAGGGAAGCTTCCGCAGCAAATAATGTTGGGGTTATTGATGTAGCATAATAGTACTATAATGAAAAATTAGCCAATTTCGATATTTAGAAAATTCTAGTTTAAAAACACGTTTCTCCTAAATCGCGTACTCCCTTCAGCTATCACAAATTTGTTTTATTTCCATACACTCGAGCTGTGCCCACAAAATCTATAAAAATACACCGTGAAACAAATGATTAGAGATCAAACGCACATCCATTAAAAGCAAGGGCAACAACCCAAAAAATAGTTCAAAAAAGTAATGAGCCAGCGGTGGCTTATATTGCTGTGTTCTGTCACTCACAAAGAGAATAATTCTTTGAATTAGTTTTGACCGCCGTTTTGAAGGTTTGGATCGTCTCTTGTTTATTTGGACTAAGTTATAGGTTTGGAGGCGGGGGTGGTGCAGTGACAAGTGGCGCGCTCACCGCTCGCGCGGCGCCGGGGTTCGAATCCCGGGTCGACTCCCACCCAAGCCAACCAAGCCTTCTACCCTCCAAATTGGTCTGCGCGAAATAGAACACTGACTTGTAATCGGCTGGCCACCGCAAGTCATTGTATAGGCCACATCGCTTCAATAAGCCACTACGATTCTGAATGGAAGTATAATGCGTGCCGCATCCCACAAAGGGATTGATCACTGGTGAAAACTTTATCCTTATCCTTTAAGTTATAGGTTTAGGAAAAAAGCGGAATGCAGCACCTAAGCTGCTTGGAAACTTAGGGTTTGTCATTAGGAGCGCCGAGCGTATACTCGAAATCCCTGAGATCGGGTGAGCGTGGCTGCATGCTTTACTAAACCGGCTCACGGTAGGTCCATTTGTGTGCATTCGTGTGCACGATAATCCCTCAAGACGAGTGGGATTAATACGCCTGGCAGGACGGGATTCCGCGCCCCTGAGCGGGCGCTGCATAATGCCTTTTCCAAGGGAGGTGCCCTTACAAGGGCCCTATCACGCCACGACATACCGACCCAAATGCCCGCCACACGCCCGCCCGCCCACAAATGGACGACCGTTCCTGACGCTCTAATCGGTTCATTTGCTAAGCAAATTATGAAGCGAAGGGATGGGTATGAAGCGGCCGTGATGCTGCATGGATATAGGAGTACACATATGCAGCAGCACCTTCGGTAGCGGTTATTGGCAAGACGTTTACAGGAAACTCGTCCAAAACTGATTTCTAACACATTGAGAACGGAAGGTGTTTCTTCTCAGGACTTTGACCGTTTAACTCCGTTCTATCGCCATTTCCCCCCTTTATATAGCGCCCTACTAGCATTTTAGGCCGAGCACCAAATCATCGTGCCAACTGCCTTTAACTCATCCTGTTTTTCCCCGTTATTCTCAGAACCAAAATTTTGCGATACACTTCTTGGCAGTGATGGCGAACACTGAATACTACACTTTCTCATTATTTTCCCTCGAATCTGCTTGAGTTAATGAGAATTGGTGCAAACTGCTCAGACTAGTGAGAAGAGTTACATACCTTACAGCATTGTAGCTCACTGCATAGACTAGCACTCGATGTGCGATGTAGAGAAACCCATTGATTGTGAATCCTGGAACATCGCTCGGATTGCCCTAGTAGCATTCTGAGTTAGACTTGGAATTCAGTCAACATTGCAGTATTAATCAACAGATGAAGCGCTTGGGCACTAGTGAACCTAAAACGTCTTGGCTAAAGCGGTTGGATTCACCTGTTACATGTCCATAATTTTGGAGCTTAATTGCACTTAAATTGCTTGCAGTAGGACAAATGGTCATATATTCTCTGATATACTTGGTTCGCAATCAACTACACATTATTCAATGAGAGCTACACTGCTCCACATAATGATAGTTCCACCCATAAATATTACAAAATCCCGTCTCACATGAGGTTTTCAAAAATGTGCTCACATAGAAAATGAGGTAATAATCAATACCACTTTGCATGCCAACACCGGGAACTGAATTGAAAGAACAAGGTTTTTTTGTTCATTTTTTGAAAATTGACACTCTGACAATTCCACAAAATGATAGTTCCACCAAACAAATCGAATATTCTGCCAACC